CACTATCCTAGTACTAGATTATTTTTTAATTCCCCGTGAACGAAGACTTGTAACTGCTAGTTTTTCATAATCGAATCCTTTAAGAACTTGATTTGTATTTTTGTGTATATATTTAGTACTAAATCTACTTTAAGAGTAGCCCTTGACTATCAAAATCAATTGTTTATTTTATATCAATAAAACTATAATAAACTGATAACATATTTTCTATAAGCAAGAATAATAAAGCGATTAGCTTGTTTACTTTTGCTAGTGAACACAACCGCGAAAACAACAGTGGTAGAGCCCGGTTTAACATCTTCGCACGGATTGGCCCGGCTCCCCGGTGTAAAACCACGACCACACAGAAGACAGGCGTCGAGTGGAAGCAATTCCGCGTTTCGTCTTATGAGTGTGCGTCCCGAAGGCCTAATTTAGTCCTCTTTCCCTTCCCACCCTTTTTCTTATCAGGAAATGATGTGAAGTGGAAATGGACTTTCCGGATGAAAGAATGCATGGAAAGGGAAGATATTTTCTTTCTGTACATCCTCTCCTCCGTCGATTTAAGGTAGGCAACGCATATGCAATTAGGTATGTCTATGGGCAACGGTCACTTCGGTATTTCAGCGATTTCAGGTGGCCGCACGCTCGTTTGCCATCTTTTGATTAAAAAAAAAAACAAGTTTCAATACTTATATCTTAGCAGTCACGAGGTTTATTGTTTATCTTTTTTATTCAAGTGCAGTTGACTCCGTCAGCATAGTAATGCATTGAAATAATACGAAGCGCACACGCTCGACTCCGACGTGGGAATCTAAATAATCACCAGATAACAGTAAATTAACATCGTGCATTGATAATAATCTGTACGACAAATATAAGAAGCATATATTGTGTTGTTAATACACGTCTCTACTGAGGTTTACATACCCTAAGTAAAAGATGACTAGATAACTACTAAAGCATAATTTCAGAATTGACTTCACGTAAATCTTAGAAAAACAATCTTAAATCTTAGTCTTGACTTCACGTAAATCTAATGGCCTAATCAGCCTTAATTTAGGGTAGGCTCCGAGCTCCTCGGTGGGGACGTATAGTGAGCTGTTAATGATAAAATCTTAGAACTTCTTCGCAGTGAGACACGAATAATTGTGACAAGCGCTATCGTATCTTTATAGACAAAATTCGTACGGCGCTCCCATCGGCCGTAAATTACACCAAGCAAACTAATATTATCTTATTATCAATCTTACTAATATTATAAATGTTTGGATGGATGTTTGTTAGTAGGTATCTCCAGAAAGGTTGAATGGATCACGATGTAATTTAGCATAGATGTAGACCATAGTCTGGAAGAGCACATAGATTACCAATTTTTTTTTAATTCCTCGCACGAAGTCTCGTCTATTGCACACAATAATCGCGTATACTTTATTTGTAAACTAAGATATCGAATTAAGAAATCAAAACAATACTGTTAAATGCCCTTGAAGTGTATGATAAGGTTCGATATCGTCTCTTATCAACACACCGGATAGAAATGATAAATATATGAAACAGAAACGGAACATACAGAGAAGTCTGTAATTAAAACAATTATGTCGGTGATTGTACCCACGCGTAAACGATAGCATAGTCAATAATTGCGAGTTATTTAACATTAATAACTTCTTTATTAAAAACTGTCGACCGCGACTCCGTTCGCGTGAAATTAAAAAAAAAATTCAATAGTTGTCTATGTGCTCTTCCAGACTATGTTCTACATCTATGCCAAATTGCATGATCCGTTGAGCCGTTTCACTGATAGCTTCTAACTAGCATATAAATGCCAATGTTTAGATGGATGGATGGATAATAGTAGTTAGAAGTAAGATAAATACAAATGAATATAAAATTTAATACGCAATGTACTTTTCAGTAAAAAGGGACCTTTGTTGGACAGATGCCTCCGCTTTAAGTAAAAACTTTCGAAGATTTTTATTTTAGACAACAAACCATAATTTTTGAATGATAGTGAATTGGTTAACCATTGGCATGCTGTTAACGGAGACTGAAATTTAAAAAGATATAATCTTTAAATAATTTTAATACCTCTTTGCTTTTATCACAAACCATTACACGCAAGACTAATCAGTAAAGGCGAGCAGAAAAAAAGAAATTAGTTTTTTTAAGGCCAGTACCGCAACTTCCCGGCAAAGAACAAGCTTCTTTTACAACGTAATTTTGCCTCTGGCTTGTTGTTTATTGGATCTTTTTCATTTATATTCCAGAGTACATTGACTTAATGTTCGTTTAATTAATTAAAGGAAATATTAACAGCTGTTTAATTGAATTTATACAATACTAAGTATTAAAATGTGGCAAAAAAAAATTAACGAGTAAATATTCACTACTTCCCTACCCGTGGACATTTATAACGCAAAAAAATGAACAATCACGAATAAATATAATGGTTCTTTTTGTTACACACTCTATACATTTTTATCTGAAAGCCGCGATGTCTATTTGCAGGAAAAATATTTAAAAACCGATATTTACAACGGACTGTATGCGGCCGAGACACGTGCATTTACTGATTAACAATTTTTTCTTTTTTTTGCCATCGTATCATGGGTAGTAAGCTGAGTATGGCCAAGTATACCTCAACCATCGTAACACTACAATTCAAATTGAAACTTATCTGATAGAATTAAAGAAAAAATAATTCGTCAGAAGAGCAAACTCTAACTGGCCAGTTTAAGTAGTTTAATAGTCCGTTTTTGCTTCTCTTGGCTCTATCACTGATAGTGTATGGACTTTTGTGTCCAAGCATGCGTTTAAGAAATCAAAATCCTCTTTTAAAATATATTTTTATCTCTGTTGGTCAAAGATAATGACAGGTATGACGCTATGTTTTATACAGAGATTACGGGTCTCAGAAACCAACGGTTACACTTATGACGTATGATAATAAAAACCCCAACTCGTTACAAGATACTTGATCGTTAATAGGCTTTAAATTCTTTATTGAATAAACCAGTGGTTTATACGGAATTAGCGGTCGCCAGCGACTCTGTTCGCGCGGATTTAAAAAAAAACATTATAAGTAGCCTATGTGTTCTTCCAGGCTGTTTTCTATATTTCCAAATTTCATCGAGATCCATTCATTTAAACATACGCATTTATAATATTAGTATGATTGAAAAGAGCTTTAGATGAGATTTACCTTGACATAACACTGGAAAACTGAACGTTTTTTATCAAACAAAATATACGGATCTATATAAGTGATCTATAAATTATTTATGACTATCATAATAATATTCACCAGACCTTTTTAGGATGTACGCAACAGGTTGCCATTTTAGTTAGCATAGCAATAATATCAGTCTACCAAAATAAGGCACATTAGTACGTGCCTTTTGTAAGTCTTACCCAAATTTGGGTACAGAAAATAATAGAATTTTAATATTAAATTTCATTTTCTTTTTTTATTTGCTTGGGAAGTTACGCTTTGTATTCAAGATGGTTTACCATGCAGAAATAAATCGTGGGAAAATGTGTCCTGTTTGAGATATAGATAATTATAAAAATTATTAAAGACATGCGAAGGTCGTCAGTACACGTGAGCGCGAACCGTATACAGTTTATACTCTTTGACAAGTACTCTGGAGACGTATACGCTTAACATAAACAAAATAATCATTCGTTACTATAACGTCACAAAAAACCTATTTTATACTATAAATTCTGATAAATACTTCTAATTTCGGCAATGGAAACTTACGTTACAAAAAACTTATTCGGAAGTAATATGTAATGTTTTATTAAGGGTCAATCAAGTTCAAATTTGGAGAGAAAAAATACACAACTAGCATAACTAATGATACGAAATTACAGTTTTAAAAATTATCGCGCAATATCTAGCCACTATTATAGAATGTAAAAAATAACACTTCAAATAATTAGCAGTGGAAGTATCTGAATTACGCAGTTTTTTATTGGCATAGACGAAATAAACATCGTTACAAAGACGACTTGTCTGATTGTTTCAACTATTCGTATGAGTCATATACTAGGATTATGACATGAGACATGGAGCTTTGTTCTTTTTAATTTAAAAAAAAAACGAGCAGTAACAAATGTATTTGACAATATTCCAGATTATTGTGATTCGCGATTTAGAAAGTTCCATTTTAGATAAACAATCTGATTCATTACAGATTTATGTATATGTATATTCATAAAAAAAACTTTATGAATAACATATGTTATTAACTTAAACTTTGTAAGGTTCAATTAAGCTAATAAGTAACCTGTATGTAAATGTTTAACATAATTGAGATTGGTAACCTTAGGTTTCTGAAACCTAAATCTCGGCTTAAAACATATAGTTATCTGTTTGTCTGTTTTGTCAAAGATAATGGCAATATGTTTTATACAGTGGTTTAGATCTCGGAAACCCATGGTTAAACATCTGTTTTTTAAAATATTGTACTAATTTGATATGGTTATCAAATTAACAGGAGTGTTGGTCGAACAGCAAGACGCATTTCAACAGTTGTTCATGAGAATATTTGAGATTTTTTATTTATTAAGAAAATGCTCCAACTGCAAGCCAATATCAGGGCATTGCCCTCAGGAGGGTTTTTTTTTTATATCAGGTCTAATTTCAGATTAGAAATATAGAAAACACTATCCTGTACTAAATTCTATAGTACATTTACATACTTTACAACTTTAAGAAATTTTCTATAACAAATGTCAATTACAATTTAGATTTCTTTCTAACAGGCTAGTATCTTAGTTTTATATTAGGATAAGAAAATCGATTTAAGTGATAGTCATTTGTTCACCAAACAAGTATTCTCCAATCAAAACCATGTATTCCATAACATCAAAAACAATTTCTCATATGTAATCATATAAAGAAAAAGAAATTATAATGGCTTCTTATTTACATATTGAAAAGTTAATACATAATTATATGTATTATTTATAAGAAATATAGCATACAAAATAAAACACATAACATTACTTACCTTAAATGAACTGTGGACCAGAGTTTCATCCAAATCAATGACCATACATTTTTTATGCATGTCCTGATGTCTTACAGGTGGTAACAATGGCCGAGGTGCATGGTCTGACATGACCAGCAGTGGGGGAGAGGCCCGGCCATCGATGCTGTTTGCACCATTGCTGCCGGGCGGCCCCTTGCCTCTGCCACCTCGCCAACAACACAGCAGGGATCGCAGAAATCCTCCGCCACCACTCGATTTCTTGCTGCCCAGAGCCGTGGACCCCGACACCGGGGTGCCATCTCCTTCATTATGCTGGCCACTGGGCGTCGTTCCTAAAACAATTATTTCTCATGAACCAGTCGATATAGTCCAATACGCAGACGGCATAATTATTTGACAATCTCGGATTGCGCCCTCAAGGTTGCTCCTCAAAATGTTGGCGCGGTTACACGTTCTATTTGTTTACCTCGTGTTATTACACCCTCACAATTTAACAATATGAAGATAATCTCTTCCACGAAACACTTTTTTAATTAATGCACTGGTAAAATATTTTTGCTTCACAGAGAGGTAACATTATACGCTCCAATTCGATGGCAATAGGTAACAGGTGTAACTCTGAAGATTTACCTCTGTCGGATCCATAGTTGTTTAATTGTTCGTCATCCCGTGACACTTGAGTTATAATGGACGATGCGTCCATTTAAACATTTGTTTTTGGCCCTAATACAAATGGCAACGGAGTTTTTATAAAATTTTAACACCATAAAACTATTTTTTATCTCCCTTCTATCTTACAAAATGGCAGGCAGACACTTAGCAAATACCAACATCAAGCATAGCCAACGTAAAAACAAAAATAGATATTCCGTCTCTTTTCTTCGTAGGTGTTTTTTAAACATAAAACAAAACCTGAATAACTGCCAATGCTGCTCTTTAAGGGTTGTTTTGACTGAACGAACAATGAGCGTTGAGCAAAACTAGAGAAACTTTTTTTTTCTCTTTTGATGTAAAAGATACTTTTTTCAAGAATTTATGTGAAACGAATTACCATTCTAGACGACGAAAACTAGAATTTATTTACTCTAAACATATGAGATTTTTAATTTAAGATTACAAGGCTCACAGATACTCTTCACCATTACCCATATCTTTACCCATTATTTATTTTTTTCATATTTTATTAGATATACTATTACAACTTTATTAATTCTCTCACGTCACTTCAACACAATAATAAGAACACTACAACAATAAAAAATTTAAGCACTGTCCTATATGTCTAGGTTTAATAAATGCTTTCAATAGGACAATTTTGAAAATTTGGATCAGAATGAGCATTCGCGCTTGAGTTATTCGTCTGGTGCAAACACTTCCTATGAATAAAATACCTTGATCTAATGTTGCATGTAATAAAATTGGTTGGCTATAAAACTAAAACCTTACGAAATGTAAATTTTTATCATTAGTTCATTACGTTATCAGATCAAGGTGGGAAAAGGACGATGATGATATAAATCCTAACATGATCATCTTCATGATGATTTACTATTTATTGATTAAATGTTGCAACCTCTCATCTCGATGTCAAATATTGACTTGTCAAGTGCGGACTGATGAACGTCATGTATACATTTTGACGAGAGTGATTTAAAACGTTTTACTTTTTAGAAAATAAAAGTAAACATATAAATGTGTGTTATAATACAAAAATTACCTTCTAACATTTAAATAGTGTTTTGTTAAAAATACACCTTACAAAACACTTATAAAACCCAAAATGTCACAAAGAGATTCTGGGCCAATTCCAAATCGATGGCTGAATTGCCCACGAAAAGCTGCTGGGCTTATTGCTGAAAAGTTCTTAGCATTTAAGACACCCTTGGGTCCACATTTCAATGACAAAGTTCCAGTCGAAAATCGATTTACGCCATCCATTTTATTTTTAAATCTGCGTGACCTAAAGGTTCGTATTCAATTTTCGGAATGTCATCTATCGTTAATAGAAAGTTAAATTGTTAGTGAAAAAGTCTGTATCTTTATGTTTCATTAAATTAGATCATACGCTATGTGCTTAGATATACGCTGGTAATATTTTTCAAACAACCTGTGGCATATGAACATGCCACTTGTAGTATTTTAGTCTTAACTTATAAATATGATACACAGTTCGCTTATTTTAACGCTTAAATGCGATCAATGTTATTTTTATATTTATTATGTTTGAAATAATTTGCACATTAGTATATTATATAAATAAAACATTTGTAAATACAGTATTTATTTAGTAGTCCCAATATTGATATTATTATTTTTAATTCAGATAAAATTAGGTCTATGGATTGACTTAACAAATACATCAAGATTCTATGATAAAAATGAGATTGAGAAGAATGGTTGCAAGTATATTAAAATGGCATGCCGAGGTCATGGAGAGACACCTACAAGAGAACAAACAAGGTAAAATTTGATTTGTGCAATATTTAGCTGTATCATTTCTTGAAATTGACATCCTAGGAAGGATAACTTTTAGTGTGTGACCGCACATTATGTTGTGCGTTCTGGTACTATGAAATAGTACATACATTGGCTATTTCATAGTTTAGTGATAAACATTTCATAATTATATATTTACTTCAACAAACAAGCTACAATTAAGGCTTACTAGGCTACTTATTGCTTATATTATAAATGGGAATGTTAGGATGGATGGATGGATGTTTGTTTGAAGGTATCTCCAGAACGGCTAAATGGATCTCAATGAAATTTGGCTTAGATATAGACATTATAAGGAATAACATATAGGCTACTACTAATTATGTTTTTTTTTCTTCTATTTTTATGGATGGATGAAGTTGCAGGCGGTTTAAGATAATTTTTATAATTTAAATTTATTCTGGAAACTCATACTTAAAAAAGCTTTAAATGATTTTTATGAATTTTCAGGCATTTTATTGATACAGTCAATAATTTCATGAATCAAAATCCAGATGATATGATTGGTGTACATTGCACTCATGGATTCAACAGAACAGGATTTTTGATTGTGTCTTTTATGGTTGAGGAAATGGATTTCAGCTTAGATGCAGCATTGCATCAATTTGCTGTGAAAAGGTAAATAAAAATGATTACTCAATATCTTGTTTATATAATAAACCAAATTTCAACTGTAAAACTTAAAACTTACTTCTTACTAATATTATAAATGTGTATGTGGATGGATGGATGTTTGTTTCAAGGTTTCTCTAAAACAGCTGAATAGATTCAGCTGAAATTTGGCATAGATGTAGAATATAGTCGAAAGAACACAGGCTACTATTTTTTTTCTTTTAATTCCGTGCGGTGGGAGTTGCGTGCGATCTTTAGCTAGAAACTAATATAGTATTGTATGTATAAATGTTTACATAGCATCTAGCCAGGTTTAGTAATAAACAATATGTTATTTTAATGAATGTAGTATTGGTATGAGCAATTTCTATATGTAACTTGCAGAGAGCCAGGTATCTACAAGCAAGATTACTTGGATGAGTTATACAAACGGTATGAAGACAGTGCCGACTTTCCCCCTACAGCACCTTCAAGGCCACAGTGGTGTAATGGTAAATTTTATATGCAAACTTCTTATAATTGACTAGGCAATATAAAAAATCATCTTACTAATATTATATTATAAATGCATAGGTTTGGATAGATGTATGAATGTTTGTTTAAAGGAACTCAATAAAAATTGGTATTGATGTGGAACATAGTCTGGAAGAACATATAGGCTATTAATTAAGTTTTTTTTTAAATTTCGCGTGGATCGAGTCGTCGGGGATAGCTAGTTAAGTGTGCAATAGCAAAATGCAGATGATATTGCAATGTTCCAAGTTAGATACGCTGTTATAAAATATTGAAGGTTATAATGTTTCATATTATTTGCAGAAGATGAAGAGGAATATGATGATGATGAGTTGCAGGCTAATTCATCACATGCATCACATTCATCACATTCTTCACATTCAGAAGCAAATTCATCATTTAAGTAAGTTATTCATAGAACACTAACAATATTTAGAGTTGTTTTATATTTACTTTAAGACTCCCTTAGTGTTTGTTCTTAATACTAAAATAATGTGTTAAACATGATAATATGTTTGAATGGAAATTTGAGTCTCAGAAACCTACAGTGTTATTTACTTTATGTAATTATAGACATAGCAGAGGAAGAGGAAAGAAAGGCCACATGAAACCCAAAGAGTTTATCCCACCTCTGCACGGAGTTAACTTTTATGACAATGAGGATGATGTGTTAAGTATACAACAGAAAGCTAAAAACTTTTGCAAGTGGACAGGCAAAGGTTTTCCTGGATGTCAGCCGGTGTCAATGACAGTGGAAAATATCAGTCTGTTGCAACTCAAACCGTACAGAGTGTCATGGAAAGCTGACGGAGTTAGGTGAGTTTTTAAATAACCTTAATATTAACAAGTTGGAAATTTAAGGAGGTTTATTTGTAATTAAACCTTTTTTCTCAGGTACATGATGCTAATTGACGGTAAAGATAGAGTTTTCATGTTAGACAGAGACTTTTCAATATTCAAAGTGGATGGGCTCATATTTCTACACAACAAGACAATGAAACATTTGACTGATACTCTACTTGACGGGGTAAAATATAATCTCTATCTAATACAAACAAAATTGTTTATTTCTTCTTAAAGGTTGTCTATTTTTGGTTATTTTTTTAAAAAACTTTCTTCTGGTGATCGATCGATTTAACAGTCCCTTATATCTCTATTTTATTTTACAGGAAATGGTTATAGATAAAGAGGATGGTGAAGAGAAAAATAGATATTTATGTTATGATATTATCAGATTTGAAAATCAAAATGTTGGCAGAGAGTCATTCTATCCAGTCCGATTAATGTGCATAGAAAAGGAAATTATGAATCCGAGGTAACTAAAATATTATTAAACTAGTCTTGGTTCGGGGAATAAAAGTATACTTAGTAGCCTATCTGTTCTTATAGACCTACATCTATGCCATTCAGCCTTTCTGGAGATATCTTCTAACAAACATCCATACCTCCATACATCCTTTTCACATTAATAATATTAATTTAACTGGAAAAAAATAACTGTCTTAATTGCATGAGAATAATAAACTATGAATAAGGAAAAAGGAAAGAATTAAGTATTCTTGAAAAGTAAAATTTTAAACTAAATATAATTTAATATGTGATAATTTCAGGAATAGAGCAATAGCCAGCGGTATGATAAGCAAAGGTCCTTTCAGTGTGCACCTAAAAGAGTTCTGGGATCTCAGCATGACACATTATTTACTTGATGAGAAATTTGCCAAGAAACTATGCCATGAACCTGATGGACTCATCTTTCAACCATCTAAAGAGGTTGGTTATATGTTCTGTTAAAGACTCAAAAAGTCCCATTGACTTGTGCATATAATTTTCATAGGTTTTTTATCTCATTTTAATCTAATTTATGTTTTTTTATGCCAGGGATATGTGGCAGGCGCATGCGATGAAGTGTTGAAATGGAAACCGAGCGATATGAACAGTGTGGACTTTAGATTGAAAATTACCACTGAAAGTGGACTCGGGTAAGTTATATAAAAAAACTATCATACTAATATTATAAATGTGAATGTTTGGATGGATGTTTGTTTGAAGGTATCTCCAGAACGGCTGCGTTCATGCAGCTGTAATTTGACATATGTGTAGAATATAGTGGAGAAGAACACATAGGCTATGAATTACCTTTTTTTTAATTCCGTGTCTGTTCCATGTATATAAAATTCATATGTAAAAAATTTTGATTCAAATAAAGCTGTATCTTTGAAGTTTTTGTACATATAAGTGACAAACATTAGTCTTAAACACCTCAAATTAGTAATTTTTGTAACATCGTTATTTTCAGTATGTTGCCGAAGAAAATCGGTCTACTTTACGTGTCCCGCGAGAAGAATCCAATCAGCAATATTAAATTGACGAAGCAGATGAAACATTTGAATAACAAGATTATAGAGTGCAAATTTGAGAATGGCCAGTGGGTGTTTATGAGAGAGAGAACTGATAAATCTTTTCCAAACAGTCTTAGCACGGCAATGGGTATGTAAACTTATTTTTTTAATTGATATATGGGTTTACAAACACAAAATAATAACAAATTATCAATGTGGAATACAATAAAAAGCAAGTGTAAGGTCCCAAGAGGGAGCGGTTCAGTTTTTTTTTACTTATTAAAACAAAACATCTATGTGAAAGTGAGTTTGGGCTACGGAATAAAATAAATTTTTGCCAGAGAGAGAAGAGACGAATATTTTGTGTTAACAGTTTACAGAGAGCAAAATGACAAGTTAATTTAAAATTTTAGTTAATAAAAACTAAATCCAGCGTAGATAATCCAAAAGTTAAGCCGTTGCTCCTCATAAAATGGTAGGCGCTTGGCTCAATTTCGAATTGACGCGAGCAATGTATTACCAACATTTAAACTTTTACTTTCAGCCGTTTGGGAGAGTATAAGTAACCCAGTTACAAAAGAGTACCTGCTAGATTTTATAAACAAGAGGAGTTTCCATGACGACTCGGAGATGCCGCCGCCACCGAAACGAAGCCGTGTCTAGACTTTTTATTCTTTACTATAAGTAGTAATTATATGATCAGAACTTAAATTATAAATCGTATATTATTTTATACCTACTCTGAAACATTAGCCAAAGGAAACTATGGTTAACATTTAAATAAATTTATTAACTATTATAATATATAAACAATGTAAAAAAAACAAGAAACATCATATTCAACATATTAATGTCTTCATGAAATCCAAATCCATATAAAATTTTAACAAACCCGAGTTATTACATTTGTTTATAAATTTGATGAAATTAAATATTGCCATTTTCTCTCACCGTCAACTTCAATTTCTTTCAATTTATTTTCCTTGGTAAGTTTCTTTAGATGATGGTTGACATTATAAGCTGCTGCGGGCCATAAATGTTCCGGAGTCTCTGTGTAGATAATCCTGACTAAATCCATTTCCGTAAGCTGCTTATTTGCGTTTTCTTTTAAAGTTTCCAATATTTGATTCTCTCTTAAGTTTCTGTGAGCTATGTAATATTCTATTTTTTCTATTGGATCCTGAAAACAAGATAAAAAAAATAGGTGTTAATACTTAGTTTGTAACCTTAATGTTATATGTTATTTCTACATAAGAATGTCTACAATGCTTATAACCATATTATCCAGACGGGCTAGACAATGTACATTCGATCTGAATCAATTCTGTAACAAACTTCAAAAATGTTTGAAACTGACAATAACTTTCGATTAGTCTCGCGATTGTCGCGAGTCAGTTCCATACATTTTTGAAGTTTACGGAAGCGCTGCAGTATATAAGAGATTAAAGATAGATAAACAAAAGAATGGTTTTTATATAAAGAAATTATTTACTTACCTCAACAATATTACCATGGCCAGGATATATGACGTTTGGATTCAAATCTAATATTTTATTAAGACTTTTCATGTAAGTATACAAATCTTCAAATACTGCGGTACCTTCACCCAAAATACAGTCTCCACTGAACATGATATTGTCTTCTAATAATGTAAGTACAACATGATCTGTTGTATGACCAGGTGTATGGTGGATTTTGACAGTAGCTCCTTCAACTTCAATTTGTTGACCATCGGACAACCAATGTATGGGTACTGATAATGTGTCTTCTTTATTATCATCTTCACTTCGTTTGTGCTTCCATATTTTGGGTTGTTCTGTAATATTTTTTGAAGTTATGTTATTTTTTTTTAATAACTTACAACAAATTGAAGATTTAAGAACAAAAAGGAAAAAGTAATTTCAAAAAGCAATGTTTCATGCTAGAGATTTGTACACTTACTAGCAATGGTTCCATATAAGTCCTCAACTCCTCCGATATGATCATGGTGCCAGTGTGTAACGACTATGTGCTCGATATTGACTTGTTCCGTCTGTACGACATCTTGCAAATTTTTCTGGTACTCGGAAATATTTTTATCACCTGTGTCTAATAATATGCGACTAAAAAAAAATGAAATAAGCTTTTGAATAATATAAGATTTCGATGAAATGCAAGCCTGCCTGAGCATAATTCCTTTAGGTTATACATACTTTTTGCCGGTCCCAATTAAATATGTATTTGTCCCTTGCAGGGTCATAGGCCCAGGGTTACATCCTAGTATCCTTATTATCCGACTTGAGAGACGGGTCACAGTTGGAATCACCGCTGACATTTTAATAAAAGTAAATAAAGGTCAAAGGTTTTGTAATATAACGATAAATTGGATAAATAAAATTAATCTGATAAGATTAAATACTTATTTGTTTTTTATCACTTGATTTTGACGTCTTGTAAATAAACATAAAACACATATAGAATGCAATTCCAGCGAACGCTAATTTAAGAAATTGAGAATTCATTGAAACATTAAAATACAAACGTATTTTCTGTGCTGAGTAGCATAATATAAAAATTAAATGTTTGAAACTAAAACTGTGTTAAATAAAATAAAGTGAACTTTTCATATTCGGCAGCTGAGCTGTGTATACTCTTTGATAAATGTCATAAAATAACATGTTATTGAAATGAAATGTGACATTCATTTGACGTTTGAAAAATGGCTGGTGCGTTGACGAGGGTAATTCAGGGATCCAAAACGCATTTGGGTAAGTAATATGTATTTATAAGCATTTAACACTTACAATTTCTGGCCATTTATCTCTCCATAATTTTGTGATGCATTGAAAACATTTCAAATTTAAATATTAAATAAAATACGTAGATAACTTGCTTACATAATTTTGACATATTACAGGCATCGTTGCCCCATTGGTGAACATCAACAATGGGTCAGTTCGATTCCAACAGACCAAGACGAAATTTGGACCTTTGGCGGACAGCGATCGCATCTTCACGAATCTCTACGGCCGTCATGACTGGCGACTGAAAGGAGCCCTTAAGCGAGGAGATTGGTTCAAGACTAAAGATATCCTATTGAAAGGGACTGACTGGATTGTCAGTAAGTATTTTTTAATCTTAAAAGGATTGCGCAATATATTAAAATGTATCACATTATTTTGTTTTCATTTTCAATTTCCCGTAAACTTAAAAAATAATTCATCACAAAGAATAAATTTGAGCAAGCCAATTAAAAAAATCGTTTGGTTTAACTATACAGCATAGATTAAGTCACCTAATAAACACATAGGTATTGTAATTACTTACTTTCAATTCCTTTTACATTCAAGGTCTTAGTACTATATAAAGTGTCAATACTTTTTATCACTGTTAATTGATCATTTAAGAATAAAGTTCTATTAGTTATGTATGGTATTTAAAACCATAAATATTTCCAGTAAATTCTTATATACAGATTTAAAAGTCATCCATGTCATTACATACCTCTGAAGTTTTACTATTATTTTAAGATGAACTCAAGACATCAGGTCTCCGAGGTCGTGGGGGTGCCGGTTTCCCTACCGGGATGAAATGGTCATTCATGAACAAGCCATCAGATGGACGTCCTAAGTACTTGGTAGTGAACGCCGATGAGGGTGAGCCTGGAACTTGCAAAGATCGTGAAATCATGCGACATGACCCGCATAAGTTGATTGAAGGGTGTCTGATAGCCGGCCGGGCTATGGGTGCTCAAGCTGCATACATTTATATCAGAGGAGAGTTTTATAACGAAGCTAGTAACTTGCAAGTGGCAATTGCAGAGGTGAGTTGTTGTATTCATAGTTAAAAGAAGTAAGTCTACTAAATCAATTTTTTGACCAATAACTAAACTATATTTAGTTCTAGTTTATCTATGGTTATAGAACTTACAAGCTTAATTATAGCTCTTATTATAGTTCAAATTGCTATACAATATTAAAGATTAAGTGGGAAGTGAATTTAATTCTTCGACTGTATATTTTTTAGGCATATCAAGCAGGTCTGATTGGCCGTAACGCTTGTGGGTCTGGCTATGACTTTGATGTGTTTGTCCACCGCGGTGCCGGAGCTTACATCTGCGGTGAAGAGACAGCACTCATTGAGTCCATTGAAGGCAAGCAGGGCAAGCCACGCCTAAAGCCACCTTTCCCCGCTGATGTTGGTCTCTTTGGTTGTCCTACAACGGTGAATAATGTGGAGACTATTGCTGTTTCACCTGTGAGTTTATACAAGACTTATATTAATTTCATGAGTTTGCTCTGCTGAAACAAGTAACAATAACGTAATAACAACGACATATTGTTTTTTTTTTTGGAAGAAAGCAATAGAAAGCACAATATATTCTCAGGTGTTTCAATAGTAATTTAATTAAGCGTTTATTTATGGTTTCTAGTACTCTATGTATCTTTCTATTAATAATTAATTTAGACCAACATATCTGTTCAGAATTTAAAATACATAATGAAGTGTCTACGTAATTCCATAGACAATCTGCCGTCGCGGTGGTTCGTGGTTCGCATCGTTCGGTCGTCCGCGTAACTCTGGCACGAAGTTATTTAATATCTCCGGCCATGTGAACACTCCTTGCACCGTTGAGGAGGAGATGAGCATACCGCTGCGTGAACTGATAGAGAGACACGCTGGTGGAGTCACTGGTGGCTGGGATAACTTGCTGGCCATCATTCCTGGAGGGTCATCAACACCGTTGATTCCTAGAGAGTGAGTAAAAGTTACAAACAACTCTTGCCTGTAATCCAAAGGACTGGGCAGAGACCATTCAACTCAACGGCATTTATAGTAGCACCTGTATGAAATGTTCTAGCTAATTGTAAAGTGATTCTTAAAATTGATTTAAATTGCTTGATTTGAAAGCAAAAAAGGTTCTTGACAGACAGACAGACAGACAGACGGACAGACAACAAAGTGATCCTGTAAGGTCCTTTTGTTTCCTTTCGAGGTGTGGAACCCTAAAACTTAAAGACTTCAGATTACAGACTTTTTAAATATTTTTTTCAATATTAAACAGAAAATTATTGAAGTAAACATCATAGACAAGGATGAACGTTTTCTAGGATAGGAAACGGTAGTTAGCCTTCACAGGTTTTCATAATATATTTAATAAAATACTGACCTTTATGTTTGCAGCGTGTGTTCTGACGTTATGATGGACTTCGACGCGCTGGTTGCTGCTCAGACATCACTTGGTACAGCGGCCATCATCGTGATGGACTGCTCCACTGACATAGTGAAGGCCATCGCACGTCTCATCATGTTCTACAAGCACGAGTCCTGCGGACAGTGCACGCCCTGCCGTGAGGGTGTCTCCTGGATGAACAAGATCATATACAGGTATACCGTCATCTTAAGGATTTGTAAAAAAAGTCACTATAGAGGGCCTTTACCTAGTAGGCCTTATAGAGTGTCTTGACTCTACGGAAGGCCTTTTAGTATTTTACCTTAAATGTACGTAAATTTTGATTTAAATTAATAAATTAAGCTAAAAAAAGCTAAAAGGTGGCAAACGAGCGAGCGGCCACCTGAAATCGCTGAAATAGCGAAGTGACCGTTGCCCATAGACATACGCAATTGCATATGCGTTGCCTACCTTTAATATACGGAGATAAGGATGCAAAGAAAGAAAATATCTTCCCTTTCCATACATCCTCTCATCCGGGAAGTCCACTTCTACTTCCCATCCTTTCCTTATAAAGAAAAGGGTGGGAAGGGAAACAGGACTAAATTAGGCCTCCGGGACGCACACTGATCAGACTGCACGCGGAATTGCTTCCACTTGACGCCTGTCTTCTGTGTCTGTTCTGTTGTAATGGTAACGTTTGAAAAATGTGTTTTCCATATTTACTTTGGAATTGATATAATTTATGTTTTGATTATATGTAAAAATTATAATTGTGTTTCTATCAGTTTTGTTAATTTTAATTAACAGATTTGTGGACGGTAACGCTTCGCCAAAAGAAATAGATATGTTGTGGGAAATATCCAAGCAGATTGAAGGTTAGTTAAATATTCCATTTATAAACATAATTTTTTATTAATCGTAATTGTTTATATTCAATTATATATATCAGTAAATTAGTCAACGGAGCGTCGGTGGCTCAGTGGTCAAACACTTGACTTGCAATCTGCAGGTCCTGAGTTCGAATCCCGCCATGTACCACTGTGTTTTTTCGATTTCCGATTTACATGTTACGGTGAAGGAAAACATCGTGATGCACATATCTGAGAAATTCAAAGATATGTGTGAAGTCAACCAACCCGCACTTGGCCAGTGTGGTTGACTATGGCCTAATCACCCTTAACTTAGGGTAGGCTCCGAGCCCCTCGGTGGGGATGATGATGATGATAAAATTAGTCATATAAAATGTCAATTTTAATATAACTATTAAAAATTTAAATAAAACATTAATTACACTAATCACTCTGATATTCAATGACAACGAGTTTTTTTTACATTCAACAAGATAATGTTTAATGATTTCATAATATTGTGTATTTTGCTAACATTCTATTTCACAATAATTAATTAGATTATGTTGTACAAGTTCCAACTTGTAGCTTTACTAATTATACGTCCATTTTCTAGCTATTTTTATATGCACTTTATCCTGTACATATAGAAATACTTAATGAACTTAGTGCTTTAGTTTCATAGTTAACTAGTATATTAACTGCTAGTTCGCTTTCCCGTCATTTAAATGCAAAAACAGACTAATTTGACATATAGGATTAGTTAAGCAATTACAGGGTGTCCCAAAAGGTTACGTACATAGGAAGGGGAATGATAAGGGTGGTCACATGGGTCACCAGAATAATAAAATAAAAATTCCCCTCTGGGTATTAAAAAAAATAAATGGCATTTTTTAAAAACTTAAAAATTTTACACCTTCTGGGGCAATGTGTAAAATTTATGACGTAAATTATGGATGGTCCCTTACAACTAACAGATTAAGTAAACATTATAATACTCTGAGTGTTACCGTGGTGTTTATTTAATTAATTTTAATATGTACAGGTCACACTATCTGCGCGCTGGGTGACGGCGCGGCGTGGCCGGTGCAGGGACTGATCCGACACTTCCGTCCTGAGCTGGAGCGCCGCATGGCCGCCTACGCCGCCTGCCACGGCCCCAGCAAGGCCGAGAGATTGTACTAGACAACTCCACAAGGCCTTTGAGGGCCCTTATCATCCGTTGAAGGCCATAAGACGTAGGGCCTTTTTGAGACATAAGGCCCTTTTTCAGGACCCTTAGATTGTATCAAAGATCAACTCAAGGTACTTCATGTAATTGATATTCTAGTTAAAAAAATAAATAATTCCTAAGTCTAGGTTCTTACAAGTCCGAAAGGCCCTTATGCCTTAAAAAGGCCTTATATCCATATTAGGGCTAGAATGTGATAGAATAATCATTAATGTTTTATGACTTCACTAAATAAAGGCGATTGTTTGATTTTTTTTCTATATCAATAAAACCTATAATCTCTGCCTACCCTTATTCGTTCAGAAATATGTTAAACAGCATATAGCAAATAATTGTTTTATAAGCAATAAAAATACTGACGTTATGGAGATTTTTTTTTGAATTTCCTATTTTTCTGGATTTATTTATATTAGTATAATCTGTTGGTCGTCAATTTTTGAATAAATTAAATTGATTAATAATTCTTATAAGTTTTATTTGATTTACACTTCATCTGTAATTTATATAATGATTTTCTTAGTGCTACAGAAAGTATTTAGTATTTATTTATAATTTAATGTATTTTATATAAATAAAGTATTTAAAACATAAATAAAGTATTTAATAGTGTCGAATATTTAGTTTTAATTATTATTTTTATTAAGACAAACAATTTGCAGTTAATTATTCATTTTTGAATCGTCATAATGATATAGCGAACTTTTTCAACAAAATATAATTTTGCGTAATATTAAATTAAATTATGCAATAAAATATCACAATTCTTATCGATGTTGTTGCGGTTGTAAAATTTTGGCTTTTGTTATAAAAATTATCACTTGTAATGATTTTTTACAAGTCATCTGCGCGTAATATAAAAAAAATTATAAAAATTGTACTCAATATGTTAAGGTTTAAAGATTTTTATTTTTTATAAGAAATAATTTTTTTTTAAACATTATAAGAATCTGTAGTCGTTCGTGATTCCGTACACGCGGAATAACGAACGACGACTTGGGGTTCTTCAAGAAGCGAGCGTATCACCATCGCAAAGGCCGGCAACGCATCTGCGGTTCCTCTGGTATTGCTGATGTCCATGGGTGTCGTTGAACACCTCGGTGTTCCCGTTGCTCGTTTGCCCCCTTCTGTTATAAAAATAAAATAAAATAAGAAAGGTTTAATTAGTAGCCTATGTGTTCTTCCAGATTATGTTCTACATATATGCCTTGGTGATACTTTTTAACAAACATACATCCAAACATTCGCATTTATATTAGTAAGATTTGGGCTTGTTATATAAATACGTAAATTAAACGTATTGTCGTCAATAAAGTAATTCGATGTAATATATACGTTTCAAAATATCATTTCCTTTAACTTTTTTCCTCACAATTTTATATTCCTAATTACTTATAACACAATTGACGTCATACATATAAAATGACTTCCTGGAACTTTGACCTTGAACAAGAGTTTCGACCAACATCTCAAGGAGCTCTCGCTAAACAGTTGGATTAAGCGCCCGATACAAAAGGCAGTCCTAGAAACCGCGCGCATCGTGAGAAGGTTCCTGTCTCTGCAGCCCTCACCACTGGTTGTTTGAGTCATGAGACTCCACAGCCGGTGGTGCTCTATTTTTAATATAATATATTTTGTATAATTTTTTATTTTATATAGGAAATGTACTATATTAAGAATATGATAAATAAATAAATACATGCACTTATAATTAGAAATGCATATATTTTCAAGTTTACAAGGTCTTTTAAATGTATGGAATAAACAACGGCTAAGTATTACGGTAATTTTTAGTTTTGTTTGTCTTAAATGAGCAGATGGTAAACTAAATATTGCGCAGCTGCTAACTGAATCGAAGACTTGTTGTTGTTTGCGATTGTAAGCACTATTTCCATTACATTGACTACATAACCAATAGTCGCCAATGATATCTATCAGATTAGACGTAAATCTGGAGATCACACTGAAGTTTCTTTTTATTTCAAACTTTTATTTAGTTTCACCTGTCCCGATGTCGTCAAATCTTGCAAGTTTTGAACCACTTTCCGGTTACTGTTTGAAATTTTGCATACATGTGTAAATCGCGTGGCAATGCAACATTGACATGGTGCTGTTGTGCAGCTGGAAGGTGGTCATGGCAACTTTGCAATGAAACGACATAACCTTATCAAGTTTGGGCTCCTTTGAATCGTCTTGACGATCTTTTATTTTTAATTTCAGTTCTTTTAGTTAAGAAGTATATAATAAAAGCTTGGTTTTCTTTATTCAACTTTTTTTTTTTGCTTTAGTGTAAATTTTTTAAAGTTAAATTCGAGTGAATATTTTTTTTTCTGAGTTGGTAGTTAAGGATTCGGGTAAGTGTAAGGATGTTATTGTAATAATAAAAGTATGATGTATTTTTTCTAAATTATTTATTCCCTCTATTACTCTTTCTTTTTTTCTGATAATCTTAAAATATCTTAGCTCTATGTACAGTTTGCATAAATTAAAGTACTTTATAATTTACAGTACACTAGTATTGTACAAATCACTTTCAGCCGCGTGAATGACTGACTACTTACAGCAACGCCACTCTATCGAATCACGATAGTGACGATACAAAATTCACAGATTTATAAATAAAAAATAAAAATTACAAAAAAAAATGATTTCTCGATTTAACTATACAACAAAACACGCGGGATATGTCTCTCATATTTTAACAATTGTTGATTTTCATAATTTTTATGATTTAAAAAATAAAAAAAAAATGATTTAAAAAATTAAAACTCAACACCAAGTACCAAATGAGACATTGATTTAGCGAAAAGGAGGTGCCCGCTCAGATACAATATAACAACAATAAATTAGTTTTAAATTAAATACATGGCACTGACCAAATTCTACACCGTATTCGGTACGTGGTGATGCGAATAAACGAACCAATTTTATTTGTGCTTTATAATATAATAACAAAAATTAATTTCGAATGTATATCATATGCCGAATGATCACAAACAATAAAACAAATAATATAATGAAAATATATTCTATAGTATGGAAGCAACTGATCCTGTCCTGTCGCAGCGCAGCGCGTCTCGTCAGCGCAACAACACAATGGCAATCGTAACGCTAAATAACATCGGTGGAGATCACAATTACACGATATAACTTTAACTTCTTTTAAATATAAATACAAAATATACATACCTAGGCAATTACCTAAAGTTTTTTGAAACAACTTCAATGCAATATATCCATCTATATTGGTGTGAAATTGATATGATTAAGTTAGGCTTAACAGGAATCATTTGCATAGTAAGCGCGGGTGCCGCTCACAACATGGATCTCGCACAACATCCAAGATCACAAGTACGCGATATCAGTCTCACTTTTCTGTCATTACCTTACCACAGATAGCAAAAGCTGGAACTGTCCGCCGCATTTGTTATATGCGGTCCTAACGTTCGAGCTCCTACTGCATAAATAAGTGTGTGCAGGCGCGGACCAGCCGCAGCCGCATCTCTACCTCTTATCACTAGAGTTACATCTCCGCGGAGACTGCGCCTGCCGCAGCCGCCGCATCGCCCAAACATAGGCCGGATCATACGTTATACATATATAAATATATCAACAGACGATCGTTTACATTATTTGCAACTCTTGTCGAACGTTCATTTGTATCATAAACTGACGAAATCGACAGCTACAATCGTCTGCGTTTGATGAATAGTTGACGGAATCCGCTGAATGCGAAGCGATGTGATGGGAAGGGGAAGTTGAAGGCGCCGTTAGACGCAGTCCGCGAGACTAAGGTCGAGGTCTGGCACGAGGCGGTCTAGGCAGGCGGCGGCGCGCGGCGGCAGCTCGTTGCGCGGGTCCCGTGCAAGCCAAGGATGGCGCAGCACGTCGCGCGCGCTCAGCCGCTCGCACGCCTCGCGCCGCAGCAGCGATCGGATCAGGCACTTGCCGCGTGACGACAAGCACTCCGGCACCACGAAGTACCCGCGGGAGATCTTCGCAAATAAAGACGCGTGCTCCGAATCGTTGAACGGATATCTGCAACAAAAGAAAATCATTATCAAAAACTGTCACCCAAGTGATATATCCTCGAGCGATAAGAAGATAAGTAAAAAGATTCTGAGCTATTTAAAAAAACACGCCGAAGAAAATATTTTTTCTTCGGCCCGCATAGTTTTATCTGGGCGATAAGATCATTAAGGCCGACATTATGGGGAACATAAACTGTTGCGTTTTTGTGAAGCTCCGCACTGAATTAACGAACGCCCGAATCCGATTGTCATTCGTGGAGTCGGCGGAGGACGCGGCAGCTGCGCGCGAACAGAACAACAAAAACTCAGGTATGATGAAACCCTTCCGGCGACAGGTGAGGCGAGCGATTGCGGCGAAATCCCGGGACTCGAATTTTAAATTACGGGTGCCGGGAAAAAAAACAAAACAAAGGTATCAGAGGGCAGGTGCGTGCGAGGGAGTGCATCGAGGGCGGATCAACGTCTTCGACACATGACCGCGGCAGGTGCGGGAAGATTTCACGTGGCTGTATATGTGGGTGATACAATCGGCGACCGTTGGCGCGTAACGGCCGACAGGTGACCGTCAACGGTCGCAGCGACGGCGACGTCCAGACGAACGGTAAGTCCCACGCTCGCCGCCAGGTGAAGACGCCCACCCTTCGCCTTAATTTATGTCTTTAATTGTACTCACTAACCCATTTGTTTAGGGCGATTAGGGTGAGTTACAATTTATGGTATGCAAAAGGCTTGTTCAGTAATTATTGCATACTAAATAGACGCTTTTACGTGAAACTATTGGTCAACTAAATTATTTGTGTTATTTGTATGGGAAATTATTATTCCTATCACGCCTTTGCGTATTACTATTGTTATTAAAATGCAATATGAGCACCCACCTTCCAACGAGCATGGTGTATAGTATGACGCCTAGGGACCACATGTCGGCAGCACGGCCGGAGTATGTTGTGTGAGCGCGTAGAATCTCAGGGGAGACATACGCAGGGCAGCCCCTCTTGTCCTGCAGAAGGTCCTCCTCAGGGTCATCCAGTACCACCGCGTCTTCTAAAGATTCCAGCTTTAACGTTGTTCTGTAACAAACAAAATTGATTATTAGTTTTCGATCTCATTACTATGCTATAGAGTTACCGAGGAAGCATTTCAAATAAACCAAAGTATGGTAAATCAATGAGGCATGTAAAGGAACAATGGTGTATTTAGTTTTGAAGGATATAAAGTAATAAAGATGACTCAAGACGTTAAATCGACCATAATTTGTTTGAAAATACCATAGATATCCGTTTGCCAATTACGCATTCGGTAGCAAGATCTTTAAAACATCGATATCAATATATCGATATGTAATAATGATCATTCGTGATAAATAAATGAATACATCGATAATAATAATTAACACGATATAACAAAGCGATTCCGCATTCGATCCCGGGGCCGATGACCTGATGGTAATCGCGAATCATTTGCCGCGACCTGTCCGCAAACGCGACCCTTTGTAACAAAGCGATGTGCCCGCCGATCCGCGACTATCAATAATTACTATACATATAAATGTATGTAAGTAAATAAAATATTATTTTCCTGAAAATTTATATTTCAATGTTTTCACAAATTTTCCTTATGTGATAAGTGTTTAAGATTAGCTTAACCGTAGGTTTATGAGACCAAAATTCGCGTTTAAAGATTTTGTTATCTGTTTTTTCAGAGAAAATGACAGGGATGATATATTTTATACAGAGATCGTGGTTTTAGAAATCCACGGTAAGTCATGTTTGTTTTCAGTCACACTTTCCGTATAATCGTACAAAAGAAAGGTTTTCTCGTTGATGTAGCATTTAGGAAATGATAACGAGTATAACGGTGCATCTCTTGTAATAAGGGCGGTGTTTCTGTGATACAGTTGTTAGTTGGAAGTTTTGTCATGTAAATAATTGCGTGTCGAACCATAAAGTTGTGATGCAATTGGTTTTGTTTCATCATACGGTGCGGGGGGTAGGGGGGAGGGAAGGTTTCAGGCGCGGCCTCGTGGCGGCTGTCGCATCATTTCGAAATGCATTAATGCAGTACAAAATAAACACGTTAACTTATTGAATGTTATCTAAATGAATGATGCATCTGTTGATATATTCGTTAATTATCCATTTTATCTAAATCTGGATGGATATCTGTTAGAAGGTATCTTCAAAACTGCTGTATGGATCTTGCTAAAACTTGGCATAGATGTACATAAGTCTGGAAGAACACATCGGCTATTAGTTAAGTATTTTTGTTCCGCACGGACGGAGTCGCGGGCTAGTATATTAGTGGACTGTGTCTTCCATACATTCATAATATTCAATTGATCTGTGATGCCAAAATGAATAAACTTTTTATTACAAAACTGTTTTGTAATAATAAATTTAATAGAATAACATAAAGGATAAATTACTAATACTAAGAAAAACTTTTTATATCATAATATTATTGTTAAGACATGAACATTTACCGGCCTGACTTGTAATGTAGGAATGCAGGTTAGTTATGTTTTCTGAGAATGACGCGGACATTGAACATTGTCCTGTAATTTCTGCACACTGTATTGTTTGGCGGAAGATGTAAGGAATATTCAAAGTCTATCCGCCTAACTTCTAACGATTTTTAGTAGGAAAATTTGATTGAACTATTTTATCGCCGATCATGAAAATAAAGCCTTTATCTTTGGAATTCATTAGCTAGAAGCCACAGTGAATATAAACAAAATGTAAATCGACTAAAGACAGGTGTGACAAGTTCCGAAGTATTATCGAAATTCTCCGTTTAAATTTAAATCGTTTTAAAATACCCCCAAAGGGGCGCCGGTTAATTTAATGTTACGACGAAGGGCTAATCTATTTTAGTCGACAAAAATCCATTACGTACCATTACAGCATCAAAACGTGTGAAGCTTTAGAAACTCAATTCGAAACTTGGATTGCAAGAAACTTGCGAGATTGTTGCGCGCCGGCAAAGCTCGCAATAAATATAAAGTTTGCTCAAAGCGTTGTTTCTACATAGTCTGCGGTTCTGTTTCTACTAATCTCTTCGTTTTGAGATCGGAGACCGGGAGACTATTACAAAAGTTACGAGACTATTGCGATTAATATAATCAGGGACATTACTAAAACGAGATAAGGTGATGGTGATTTATTATTGATATTATATTTATGAGCTGGATCGTGACAATATGGGCCGGCTGGCACTCGTTAAAGGTTACTCTCGTTAACTGCGCGTGTCGCAACCTGCTCGGTTATTCAAAACTTTACGCTTCAGGTGTAACTACATCGTCGAATGTAACTAATATTTCGGTAGTCATTTGATAAAAATCAAATTGCAAGACAGCATTAAATGTCGGCAGTGCATTCGGCGACGTAAGGGCGTCGTCCTCGTATCAGATTTAGCGGCGCCTGCGCAACAGTTCCTAATTAAAATCCGCTGCAGCGGCGGTACGGTGCGCGGCCGGGCTCGAGTGCGGGCGCGACGTCTGCAGCCGCGATCGATTCGTATTTCGCAAGCTCGTAAATGAGCCGCACGGTGTCGTAACGCGGTCGGAAGGTTGGCCGGATTTCCGAGCGGTGCGGCCTCGAAGGATTCTCGCGCTGCGCCGCGGACCGCTCGAGAAAGGACAACCGCTACGCCGCCCGCGTTGGCCACTTCGGCTCCCTCGCCGGCCGTAACCTAGCTACTGAAGTACTCTAAATAAAGCAGTTATTACTGACTCACGACCACACCTTCGCAACCACAGGTGTGAATTCACTACACTCGAGTTCTGCGAGAATGGTGCGTTTAACTTTCTTGTCAGTGTGCACGATGGGCGTAGCGTAAAGGAAGTGTGGGAGATCGCCCACAATTAACGGGATGTGCGCTTTCGCAACGACTCGCGCTCGACGCAACCCTGAAAGTTTCGTAATGAACAATGGCGGCGGCGCGGCGGTCGCACAGTCAGATGCAGTGCACATGCATGCACTTCCTGCTCGCGTTATATCGCTTGCGCAAGCGACCGCCGCCGCCGATACACAAAACGGAATGATGCGACGTGCAGCGGCCGCTGTTGCGAAATGACGCTGCCTAATCGTCCGCGGTGCACAGCCAGTTGTTCGCTCGCCACTTCCTAGCCCACATCTTAGTCATAGGTTTTCGTAATGCGCGCCGTAGGGACGCGTGCTGTCGCAAGCGCGTTGCCTCACCGAGACGCCGGGATACATTGGGAAACCATCCCGACCATGTCCAATTATACTGCGAGTTGCACAATGCCGCCCCGCGGACAACGGTCGTTTCGTGTCATTTGATGGATAGACGATACGAACAACGAGAATATTAGAATTATGTCATATACCTTACTTAATACGCAGATATTTGCGATAGGTACCGAACGTTGTTGCGAAACTTTGTGCAATTGCCGCGTGGTACTAAAACATCTGTCGTGCAGTTATCGGTATGCCTCCGCGCTCCAGAATTTAGGTATCTAAACTGCGCTAGGAGCTCGTTTTGTTTTATCGCGACGATAACGCAAGTCGAACATTTTGAAATGGTGCGCTGGGCCGCTTGCGAAAACGCTAATGTGAACATCGGTTGCAAAATTGTTTTAGTTTTAAAATCGAATGCGGCGGGCGGCTTGTGGCAGCGCGGGCGATGGGCCGCACGCGGTGACATTCGCCTGCGAGCAGATCGGGTAGCGCAACGCCGCGGGCCGTATTTGGCAGGCGCGCGGCGTGCGGGTGCGCGGCCATGTCACAATGGCGCGGATTATGAGCTCGTTGCGATATGGCATGTTGCAAGCGCGGGCGCGCGTCCAAGCGCCGCTCCCGTGTTGCAACCGCGCCGCACCCGCGTCGCTCCCGCCCGCTGCACGGCCGCGCGCACCGCGACACCGTACAATGACCCGACCATTACGCGAACGTTGTGCAACGAAGAAAGCGTCCGGAGCGTCGCCCGCGAAAAGCGTCCGAATTCTCATCGATCTCCGTCACGAATCGCAGCAATTACACCGTTACGTGGCGGCGAGCCTCGGATCCGGCGAGCGGTCGACTTTCTAACGCGGGGTCGGTGTACGCGGCGGCGTGTCGCAATAATTTCTCCGATGCCGCGAACGAAGAAAGCGCGACCTCGTCATTATTTTGCAATCGCACGCTCCGCGGGAAAGAGCAGTAGAAAGCGCGCGCGGACCGCGCGGCGGATGCACTCGCCGCATCGCGCCAGTCGCGCCTCCCACAAACGCAGCAGTTCGTGTCGAACGAGTACATGGAATTGGGCAAACGGGCGCGGGGTTGCGCAAGGCCCGATAAACGTGCGTCCCTTGTCACCGTTGCGCTGGTGAAACACTTCCGTTCATTGACTCCTTCCCGATATAATGTTACGTATGTTTCAAAATACTTTCGCCGTACGTAAAACACGTATCGAAGAGGCCTAGCAAAAAGCGTTCGCTCAGACTTGTATCCTTGATCTTTCCGGGTGAGTTGGAGGCGGTGCTGCGTGCCCCATATGTCGCAAGTTCGCAAGAGAGTCGACGCGTAACTCTAGGAATTTCTCTGTTGGGATGCGAGGCGAAGTACCGGCGGGTAAGCGTTGCGCGCGGCGGGTTGCGTGAGCACTTTCATAACGCGTTGTTACGTTTCTAGTCGACTTCTGTAACGGTTGGGAAATGCAGCGGTAAAAAGCTGCCGGTCCCATATCGCGGATGAGTAATCATCATTACACAGCGTGGCTGGAAAAACGCAACGCGCCGCTCGTGTGATCGCGCCTTACAAAAAAATTCACGTAACACTCCAATACTTTATATGTCGTCGTAACTCTATCAACATTTCAGGTGTTACAGAACAAAGGTGTACATGTAACAAAGACCTTGTTATACAATGATTTACAGTTAATTTTCTAAGCGATTTATTACGGCATTTACTGCGCTTTCGGATAATAAATGTTGTAGGACTTAGGACTAACATACCTCAACTAGTTTTGTTAATCAAACAGAGGCACATCGGACCCGCACGTATATAAGTAAACATAGTATAGGTGTGCGAGTCACCTGGAGGCAGGTGGACCACAGAGCAGCGTTGTGTGG